TATGGAACTGCTTTGTTTTTTTAAAACGATATCCAACCAATGAGACACAACAGGGGATTATCCCGGGAAATTGACGTTAATACAATGCATTTGTAGATTTAACTAGTTAGCCAGGAAACTTACAGTCTGTGAGAGACTGAAGAAATCAGGTCACGGGATAAATAATGGCATCGCGGAGGAAACACATAGCGTCGCGGGCAAATCCGATCACGCCGGGGCCCGCGACGCTGTTTTGGCTAGGGGAGAACACTGAAACATAAACATACCATACGTCAAATTAAATTTTACTATAATATAATAAACTCTGGGCAGCGCACTTCGATCGCATCACTCGCGTACATTTCGACTGAACTCTAATAACCACGTGTTTGAATTACGTGCGGCATTGGGCAATGACCTCCAGAGTTCACGCACTGATATTTAAATTGGGGCCACCCAGCTTGACGCAAATCAATATAGTTACTTGTCATTTGTTCAAAAAATCTTTCAACTCTCACAAATACCATGGACGCGAAGAGCTAACTGGGGGTTAAATGAAAGGGAACGTCTTTCTCGGACAAAAAACACATCAGTACAAGATTATGTGTGCAATGTTAGATTTATAGAACGTACATGACCGCTTAACTGTGCTTTTTACCAAATCCGGTGTAATGAAAATGTGACCAATCAAAAACGTCAATCTACGCACCATAGGGCGGTTCACTTAAATGACGTAATAGAATAATGGCGGACACATGGTCGATGCAACCTCGTGGACCAGCGACGAAAAAGCCCTGTACTAAGCTTTCCATCACAGAAATTTGTGATCGATGGATATTTATCGACTAAGTAATAATCTCGCCCAACATCTGTAGTGTCGTGGGGGAATGATTTTTTTCAGGTCAAATCTTTACCGAACCTAAACTGCTTGCTAACTGAAAGGCTGTGATGACGGAGATCGTCTGCGATTGCGGCTACACCAAGTACTGATAACATAAAAACTCAAACAAAATGTATATTTTTAATGTCTTCATGCAATATATTCTGAGTTATCCACTTTATTCTGGCCCGCGAATTAATAGGATACAATTTTAAACATGTTTTTGAACGCCGCGAATTAAAAGGATACCGTTAAAGTCCTAATATAAACCGCATACGTAATAGTAACCGCACCCCCAATTCCGGCTTTGGGGTTAAAGAGTTCTTAACAAAAATTGAAAACTTGAAAAGTACCTATTACTAACCGCACCCCCAATTCAACAAGACCACGACTGACTTCATTGTTTCAACCAGCTGTTCCAAAACGGCATTGTTCTTAATCCTATTCATTTGTTTCGACAACATGCCTAAAAATATTCACACCTATTTATT